CGTGTTGATATGCAGTTATATCAACACGAGTGGGAATTGGGAAAACGAGAAATTGTGTGGAAATTGTATTTTCACACAATTTCGTGAGTTTTCCCAATTTCCACGTGTGTTGATATAACTGTATATCAATACGGAAAAGTGTGTTATATATTTTTTATAATATAGCACAAAGAAATATAAAGAAAGCAATTTTCCGTGTTGACATTGAGTTATATCAACACAGCTCTTAGCCAATCAGCGTTCAAAATTTACAAATGCTATATTATAAATATATATATATATATATATATATATATATATATATATATATATATATATATATATATATATATATATATATATATAAATATATATATATAAATGTATATACTTAGGTTTCGTTGTTTACAAAAACATTTGGCAGAGTGCTCAATGAATATCCAGAGCATAATTAAATAAGTGCAACGACTCAACAAATTCCACTAGGCATCTTTATTACTATTAGTTTCGTACCACAAGATGTGGCACTCATCAGATAAATTAGCCTTATGACTACAGCAAAAAACCTACAGTATTTATGTACAAGTGGATGAAAGCTTTAAATTAATCCTATTTACAAAGCACGCAAAGCAATTATTTTGTTACTTGATAAAATTGACAGGACGCGGAAGTATTAACAACACATCAGCATAACGCCAAGCTATTAAGATTGCGCGGTATATTTAAAACAAAAATATGTCTGTCTCGAGTGCATGCCCTTTAAATGTTAGCTAAAAGAAATTTTTTCGCATGTCTGCACGAAGACACTAATTCATTACGTTTGTTCAAAGTAGCTAGTTCAGGTTTACATATAATAAAGTATTTTTCCCACAGGCAGAGATTACATCTATTAGAAGCAGGGCTGTAGGGTTTGGCCCGTTTCAAGGTTTGCCATTTAATATGAAATTCAATTCCTTTGCGCTTTATCTGCCAGACATATTTACTAAGTTCAGTGGAGTTCCTTTTCTCGTACAAAGTAAATGAGGTTTTGTACATGTGGTTGTAATATCTAGTTTTAAAAGCGTTTTCAGTCAGACCAACGTATGTTTGAGGTGGACTATTGTCGTTGGTAGAAACTGTAGCTTGATATACAATAGATTCGACCAAACACTTTTTGGACATTGGGCACTCCTCTTTCTTTCTACAGTTACATGTGCTTTCTTCGCTCGTTGTGGCGGTTTGTGACAGTTTGGTCTTGTTGTGTCCGTCGATGGTTTGTTTGATATTAGGCATGCAACATATATACATATATATATATATATATATATATATATATATATATATATATATATATATATATATATATATATATATATATATATATATATATATATATATATATATATATATATATATATATATATATATATATATATATATACATATATATATATATATATATATGATATTTTTGTAAAAGTTTGTAACTGATCTATTAAAAATCTTCAATAAAAACATGCTAAATTTTTTTTCGGCTGCCAACTGCAGCCTTCTTCAGAGTATTTTGGCCGTGTTCGATTAGTTCAAGTCCTTTTATGCCTTATCCCGTTACACTCATTGACTGCATTTTTGTCTAGTACAGAATGTAACGCTTCAAGAAACCTTCTTTTGTCATAGTTTTTAATGCCTTTTTCCAAAATATTTACGTCAGTTTTAGCGACTTCATGACCTGTCTGTTCAGCATGTTCTTTTATAGCTGAAAAAGTCTTTTTTCTTACGCCTGGTTTGTGTTCAAGCCATCGGGAACACCAACATCTTTTTGACTCCCCGACATAAGTGAATGAGCACGACTCGCATTTGAATTTGTACACAATAGCTTTTGTTCGCATTTCCTGTGGTCTTTCTTTTGGGTTTTTGAATACATTCTCTAACGTGACTATCGGCTTGAATGCTGTCCGAACGCCTGCTCGAGTTAAGATGCTTTTGACTTTTTCCGACACACCTTTCACATACGGAATGCACGTCGAGCCACGAATCTCAAATTCAGAAGAATTTTGTTGTGTTTTGTTTGTATTTCTAACATTATCAATAAACGCTTTCTTGTATCCATTTAACTCTAACCCTTCTGCTACTCTATCCGTTTCCTCCTTCTGTAAAACTTGGTTTGATGGAATAACTCTCGCTCGGTCTAATAATGATTTTACAACTGCGATCTTGTCTCTTACAGGGCTATGTGAGCCAAAATCTAGATATTTGTCGGTGTGTGTGCTCTTACGGAAAACTTTAATCGAAATTTCTGTAGAAATTTTACAAATCTCTGTATCCAGGAAAGCGATTGTTTGCATGTCTCCATTTACTGCCGGTGTTTCAATGGTAAACTGAATACAAGGATTTATAGAATTTAAATGATCATGAAAAGCTATTATATCGTTTTGTTTTAAACACGCGTTTGAGTCATCAACATATCTTTTCCACCATCGTATCGGCACTGGGGATGTTCTCAAAGCAATTTTTTCCACCCTTTGCATAACTAGCTCAGCAATAACCGCACTTACTGGTGAACCCATTGCGCAACCAGAAATCTGATGGTAGTGCTTTCCATTAAACACAAAAAAGCTATTTTTTAAGACAAAAGCCAAAAGACTGTAAATCTGTTCTATCGTCAACTTTGTGTGCTCTTTCCAAATCTCTGTATTTTCTAGTTCTTCTTTAACGATTTTTAGTGCTAAATCTACCGGAATTGATGTGAAAAGCGAAGTAACATCAAATGACACAATTTGTTCATCGGGTTCTACTGTTTGGGTCATTACAAAATCAACAAAATCTTTTGAATTTCTAACCGCATGATCGCCTTCGTAGAGGTGTTTTAACACGGATGCCAAATGTTTAGAGACTTGATAGTTAGGGGATCCAATACAACTATTAATTGGTCTCATAGGTATTTTGACGTTGGTATCTACGGTGAAATGATCAACTTTTTCAATGAGAGGTATTTTGTGTATCTTTGGTAATCCGTAGAAAGCTGCGGGATATGAGTCAGAGGGTCTTAAACTTTTATATTGATTTTCAGTAAGGTGTCCTGTATCCTTTAACCTAAGTAAACGATCTTGTAGTTCTAATTCAGTTTTTGATGTAGGATTTCGTCGTTTATCAGTAATGTGTGTATAGATATTTTTGTCCTCAAGCATTT